CGGACCCGAAAGCTGCGCTGTCAAGTCCGACAGATCCAAAGCACAACACGTGCCCGCAAAATCCATGAGCAGGCGCCGCTTTAGGTTTGAGGTGGCTCTCGGGTAGGGTTCTACAGTTCAGAGTCGTAAAGTTTTAAATGTGGGTGTTTAGGGTTTAAAAGTTTAGGGTTTCGGGGTTTAGGGTTTAGGGGTTTATGGTTTAGAAGTTTATTTAGGGTTTAGAAGTTTAGTGTTTAGGGGTTTAGGGTTTAGGGTTTAGGGGTTTGGAGTTACGCACGGAGGTATACGGAGGTTATGTTGCCATAGGTGTTGATCGCGATTGGCGGCTGCAGTGCCGTTGCTTGAATGTTTCAATCGTTATAATCGCATCAGTAAGAGAAGGCAAATCACTCCGATAATGCCAAAACTACTGGCTTTCTGTGTTTAAGCTTAAGTAAAGCCTATTAGGCCTTATCAGGCCTTGCGTTGGAAGGGGGGTGCTGGGAGGGGGGTTGCGCGAACAACGCATGAAAATGCTTTCGTAATCGAGAGGAATCGTAACAGTAAACCAAAATAGTAATCGTAGCCGTATTTGTTAACAGTGAGAGTGTACGTGCGTTACTGACAGTGAGAGTGGCAGTTGTAGTGACAGTGATAGACATGGGGGCAGCGTGAGGATGGAGACAGTGATAGGGATAACGCGAGGGCAGGGGGATGTGTTGTTGGTTTGGGTAGGTGGCTGGGGAACAGTGGGTGGAGCTTGCAGAGACAAGCGAGCGGGGGTGGGAGACTTCACTGTGTTCGACACGCTGTTTGGCACACTCCTAAACTTTGCAGAACGGGCAAGAATTTCCATTGCCTGCGGCCCTGCAAGGATGCCTGTCGGCAATGTGTGACGGACTCGCAGAACAGAGCCTTTCGTCTTCTTGGTCGGCGAAGCTTAGAGGGTGCCGCAAAACCAGCTTCGATCGTGACTGCACGTTGAAGGTCACGGAAAGGTTTGTGGAACGGTCAGAACCATCGACTCCAAAGCATGTGAAATACAGAAGGCTGCCGAAATTGTGCCGAAGGGTTGTTTACACTTCGGCCTTGCCAATTTGCGGACCCGATCGGGTCTGAGGGCATAGGAGGGCGGGTCCAGCCAGCTCTCGAGGTCATCGAGTTCGAGGGCTACAAGCCTTCTCGCCTTGGAAGGTTCGCCTCAATGCTGGTGCCGATGACGACCGCACTAATCGTCATCCTTTTCGTCACTCAGCGGCAGTCTATTTTGTTGCGCTTTCGGTTCCGATGCCCTCCTTCGAGTAGCAACCGAAGTAACGGCCGGCCACCGCCGTGACAATGAAAGCCGGAGGTCCGTCGTCAAAGAAATCATGTGAAGGACAATGAAGGAACAGAGTGCTTCCAAGAGCCGAATTCCGAATGCAGTCCTCGTGTTAAGTCGACGTGAAGACGAAGTAAAATTCCGAGGTCGTCGTTGTGGCAGATTATTACTGGGGCGGCTTGGACTGCGCTGGCACGGTGGATTGCCGTGCCACCATCTACCAGAAGGGCTCTGACTAGTCGTCTATGGGTCATACTGCCAGCGGGTTCTGCTGATAGCAGAGTGCTCTCCTGAGTGTTTCTGGACGTTGTTGCTGTAACCTAGATTGCGAATGGAGCTGGCCCGACCATCTTTGCTTCATCGGCATCTGTGGCTGCACAGAGTTTCTGACATCCGTCGAACCGCTGTGCCTGTTCGTCAAATCTGATGGAATGAAGCATTGAGGCACATTTCCAATCTTTGGGAGCTTTGACACCAACTCGTACGTGCGTCCTGGCCGCTTTAAACACAGAAAGATAGAGCCACTGGCAGCAGCTGAGCGATACCAAACTCTGAAAGCCATGAGGTTCTTGATACTGTGGTGCCTGGGCGTGACTTGGTTCTTCTTCCTGATTGTGAATACTGGCGGTCAGATGATCAAGCAGTTTGGCTTGAGAGCACCATTCCGCAAGGCCCTGTGCGCATTTCTGCACGTTTGAGTCGCACAGCACCTTGCCATTCTGAAGCCTCAGGCTTAGGAACACCGGGTCCTTCTGCGCATGTCATTGGCAGTGGCAGAGTGCCGGTGTTGCTCCAAGACCTCCTGGCTCAGTACTGAATTCCTAGAGCCCTCTTACTGGTAGGCGAATTACTGCTGAAGTTGGCTCTGACTGGCCTGGAAGGCGGCGGTCATCTGTGTGTCCGTGCAGGAACGTCAGGACATTGCACCGAGTGTGGAAAGTCTGCCGAAGAGGTTTCGGACAGTGTTTTTTTGGGAGACAGCAGCCTTTTGCCTTCAGACGGCTGCAAGGGCGGGCTGCCCTTGCGTGCGAAACTTTAGGAGACCATCAGCAGTGGATACTCGCGGACATTGGCCTTGCGGAAGAAGGCAGGGAAGCGTGTGAACATGTGTGAACTTCTCCACAGATGCATGGACTGCCAAATTCTTCGGTCGTTTGCCGGTCGGCACTCGCATATGTCTCGCTGTTTTCCTGGCACTAGGCGCTGGGCTTGGTGGCCAAACTCCTTCGAGCAAAGGCCATCTCCGTTGAACATGGACGGAGGAGAACTGGTTGTTCTCTGGAAATGCAACTCGTAGTGTTTCAGGATCTGCCGGGCGGCTTTCTGTCGCTGTCCGGTGCATCATCCCAGACAATTCCTCTCAAGTACGACCACTCCAGCAAGCTCTGGTACGTGGAGCCCCTCGGCGATGACAGCCAGAAAGCTGCTGAGCAAGAGATGCACCCTTTACAACCAAGTGCCCGCCGCAAGGTTTCGCTGCCAGAGATATGTGTATGCCAGAGCCCGAGTTTACTCGCAGCATGTCGCAGCAAACGGTGCGCAGAGTCAGTGTCCCACATCGGTCATGCAGCTCATACAATGATTGCAACAGGATCCTTTCCTGCCTGTGAGCTGTCGGTCAAACCTTCAGAGAACTGGAGTTGACCCGGGCCTCTGGACCCCTTGCTGGGTCCCGTAGGAATATTACGAAAGCTCCCTCCAGGGATGCTTGAGTTTTAAAGCCAGCTTTGCTGAATAGCTAAGGGTGGTGGACTGACCCAGCAGGTCAGCAATCTCGGCTGTTTTTTCGGGCCATTCCCCATGCTATGGCGGGATTAGGGGCGTTGCCGTTTTTCCCATTTCGGGGCCGCACGGGTGACGTCTGGAGAGGGGTCTTTTTGGAGAAACGGGACGCCAATGATGCTCATGATGCCTGTGCCTGGTGGGCCGGGGAGGGCGGGTTTTGGGGGGGTTGTGCATCTGTAGCTGCCTCTGGGAGAGGCGACGGCTTTCCTCGGAACGCCGGTCCTGTTTGTGACCGAGGCAAATTTTGTGTCAGTTGTCCTGTTAAACGCTCGCCGGCCGCTTGCTTTCTCGGGTCGCAGCATTCAGACCGGTATGTACAAGCTCTAAACCTCAAAGCTACTTGTTTCACTAGAACGCTGCAGAAGTCCAGTAGCCAAGAGTGACGCCGACACCGTCCTTCCTGCTCGGCAGCTTCCCCACTGGCCCCCGCTTAGTGAGCTTTCGTCCCCCCCCCCCCTTGGGGCACAAGTTTGCCACAAGTTCCCACAGGGATCGAGAGATCGGGAGAAAAGAGATAGAAAGGCTGGCCTTTCTCCCTCTGTTGCCACAAGCTTGAACGCCGAGGATCCTGTCACCGACGGCTTTTTGCAGCACGATCCCAGCACAAGCACCTCGCGGAATAATTTCTGGCTTGTCGGAAGTGTGCAGACTTCGTGCAAGTCTTTGTCAAGGTAGCAATGTTTCTTTTGGGTGTGCATGGCAGTCTTGACTGTGTAAACTTATCGCGGCATCTTCAAGGTCTGAGGAAAGGCCATGCGGCCTTCGATGCGCTGCTAGCAGAAGGCGGCCTGAGGCCTGGCCTTCAGCCCCGAGCATTTTATGCCGGAAGGGGCAGGAACCTGCACCCTGCTCAGGACGAAAAGCCCGTCGCCCCAAGGCTTCAAGTCTGTCGAAGAGATGTACAGGAGGGTTCGGGCAAAAGTGTCTGCTAGGTGCATGGATTTCATATGGTTTAATGATGGCGCTCCTCTTCCTTGCAGGAGCTCCGGGCCGAACCGGATTCCCTTTGAAGTCGACGGATGGACCCAGGCGCTCACCGAGGAGTTCAGCACGCTTTTCTTCTTATACCAGTTCGCCATCTACGCGGTCTGTGCCGCTTCGGCTGCGAGAGGCACCTTGCCATGCCTGGCAAACAGCAAGCTGCGCTCGCTTGGTCACTGAGGTCTGGTTCTCCTACTGGCACTACACCATCATCGCCATGACCATTGCTGTCATCTCTGGCTTTTTCAACACGTCTGTCAGACTTGCGAGTCAGCAGTCCATCAAATCGATGATGGAGTCTTGGCTGGGGCAGATGACAGTATGTCCATATCTTCCTTGCCGTAGCCCAGGAACAGCAGCTGACCGCCCACGTACTTCGAGACGGCCAGGTGGTCGAGGTCTGGAGTTTTCAATCGCCTAGTATGTGAGGAAAAGTGTACTTGCATAGGTCGACGCCAACGAGCTTGTGCCTGGCGACATCCTGAAGGTCCATCCTGGCCCTGTGATTGCCTTAGCCTTCCGTAGCTGGCTCCTTGCTCTCGGAGAGACAGTGAGGTCCCTTGTGACCTGCTGTTGCTACGCGGAGCGGCGGTCTGCGATGAGTCGACTTTGACTGGCGAGTCCATGCCTGTTCAGCGCCTGGCACCGGCACCTCGCCTCAACCGCCGCTACCTGTAGCAGTCCCGGTTTGCCTGCGAGGTTCTGGTTGAAGCCTTCAGATTCATGCTCCGAGTATCTCGGAATTCGCTGTTCTAAGGTAGAGAAGCTTCCGGATGACCCGCCACTTGTCCAAAGGAGGGAAGTCGGAAGCTGGTGGAAGTTCAGCAGGCCTCACAACCATGCCTTGATAAGTGGAGCAGCCCACCGAGGCGCGGATTTCGATTCCCAGCAAAGCATTCGCTGGTTGCCGTGGACTCAGAACTTGGATGTAGCAAGCCCGAGGGCAAGCGTCGTGGTCGGAGTTGGTTTTCCGGTGTCGAGGCAGGAACGTCAGTACTGCAAGTTGTCGATGATGAGACTTGGGCCCTGGCCACGCATACCGGCATCCATACGCAGATGCATGGCAGCACCCGAAGTATCAGTATTTTTCAGGAAGGCTGGGGAAGCCTGACAACGTGTGAGCAGCACCAAAGGGTACCGTCTGTCCAGTTCTGTGCCAAGGAAGGGGCAGCTGCTTCTTTTGATCTTGTACCCGCCAAAATTGGTGTTCAAGTATGACGAGCAGCTGAGTGTGCTTCGCCTGCTGACAAGCACTTGGCAGCTTCGTGAAAATGATCGCCGTATCCGAGGTTGTGTTTTTCCTGCTCATCATCTATGCTTTTGCCCTTGTGGTCAAGTTGATGAGAGTCATGTATGTCCGCTACGCAGTGCAGCAGCTTCTTGGCAGATACAAGGACAAACTTGAAGGCACTCTCCTAAACCCTCAATTTCAAAGCTCGTGCTTGTCTTCTCCTGTTTCTGAAAAGGAAGCTGCCCCTGACGGCCACCTGGGCGAGTGGGGTCTTCACGTGCTCCTGCGTGCTGCCCACCATGCTGCACATCGTGCTCTCCGTGGGCCAGGCTACCCACAGTGACAGAATTCCAGCTTAAGTAAGAAATCCAGGGCATGTTAATCCCTGAAGCAATTTCTAGATTTGAAGGGATCAGAACTATTGAAATATCATTATCCATACGCCATACGATGAATGCTTTGGTCATCATTTTCTTGCCCTGGTTGTTTCGGCCGGTTCGCTTCGAGAAGTTCGTTTGGCCATTGGAAGACTTGCAGGACCCTTGCAAACGCCTTCGAACTCAAATTCTGCCTTGTGGTTCCCGACGCTGGGAGGTTATGAAATCTACGTCACAACTTGTTTGGCATTCAGTCTCTGGTGTGAAGATCGCCGAACCATCAACCAGGGATCGAGACGGTGTTCGCATTATCCGCTTTCACAATCGGCCGGCTGAGCCTGTCCGCTTCTGCCAACGGTTTCTGTTACACGAGTGTAGGAGAGTGAGACAGTTTGGGACAGATGGTCTCGAAAGACTCCTAAGCTGCACTATGCTCAGATTGCCAGGTGATTTCTGCGAAGCGGCTGAAGGACAAGCCCGGCCACAAGCCACATCGCTTGACTGACAAGCCCGTGCGCCCGTGAATTCGCAAGCAGACGGAAGAGTCCTCAAGGAGAAGGCTTGCAGCATCTTCTGCGTGGTGCCGAAGCGCATCGCTTTGGCCGGGAAGGCCAGCAATGAGAGCGATATGATGCGAGCTTGGACAGGATGTCACAGTCCACAGGGAAGTCCTTCAATTGCAGGTGCGGGTTGCTTGCTTTGATAAGACGGGCACCTTGACAACCAGCGGCCCCACCCCAAGCTGCACCGGCCACACACAGGAGTTAGAGACTTGGTGTGGGCTCTTAAACTGAGGTCTGGAGTTCTTCGGAGTGCACTGTGTGGAGATGGACGGCAGCGACCCGGGACTTCAAGGCCACGTCGAAGCTAAGAGGCGATATGAGGCGATCTTTGCGAGCCGATGTGTCGTAGGTTCACAAAGCCCTTTCTCCTCGCTCCCTGCCGCCACGGCCGCGAGTCCGCGACTGGCGGCAGAACCTCAGAAGTCGAAGTGGGATGCCTTGGCAGCAGAGTGGGTGGCAGCCACTGGGTGGGTGTGTGGGACGATTGGGGATAGCCTACTGTCAGCCCTTTTGAGCTTAGGACCTCCACATTTTGTGTGGCTTGGCGAGCGCACATTCGCTGTCGCCCTTCTCGCAAAGCGAAGCAGGCTAGCCTCTAGCTAACATGGTTACAAAACACAAGAGTCGTTGGCAGGGGGTGAGTAAGCGATGTGCTTTGCAGGTGTTGTTGGAAATGCTGTCGAGGTGATGCTTGCCTCAACTTGTCAAAGCGACGAAGGTCTACTTTAGTGGGATGTTCTGGGTGCAGGAACGGGGACCGCAGCCAAGGAACATGTTCAAAGCCTCCGGATGGTCGCTGGCCTCGCAGAGCGATGTCCGAAGCCCGTCTGGCGGCTCTTTCGAAGGGCATCGGCTGGAAATCCTGTGGCTCGGCCAAGGCATGAAAATTCTTGTTTCGTGCCACTTGCACACCGTGGCTCCTCCGAGGAAGCGTTTCGATTTCTCCCATAGCACCATGACGATGAGCCCCGGCAGAAATGACTCATTCGGGATCGAACCTGGAATTGAATTTAGGGCTAATGCCTTTGGGACCTCCAGTTACAAAATACATCTTTCCGAGTCGCCAGAGCAACCGTGCGACGGTTTTTCACAGAGAGACGGAGGCTGAGTAATAAGGTGTACAGTGGCAACTGACATCCTGTCATGGTGCCACGACAGCCGGCTCCGTCTCAGGAGTGCCGTGGTGAAGCATCATCCCAGTGGCGAGCAAGGCTCCGGCCTTGGCGGTTTTGCAGCGGCACCACAGGCAACGCTACCAGTAGGATCCTAAGAGTGACAAAGTACATGCTGAGTCCGAGGCATCTACTGCAAAGGCAGCTTCGAGCACATTCTGCGCAAGTGTCGGCCGAGCTCGGTGCCGGAGAACTTCGTGCAGGCGCTGCATCGAGTGTGCAGAATCTCGGGAATGGCCGGGCTGGTGCTGGAAAGGGTGGCAGACGGGCCGGCAGCGTCTGTCCTGTTATCTGCGTCTTTCCCGACATTTTCGGAGTGTTTGCATTTTCTGTGGTGTTAACCGTCTTTGCCCTTCCGTCTACGGGTTATAGGACTTGGGTCTTGGGGTGTGACTGCGAGTTTGGCGGGTAAGAGTTTGGGATCCTGGGTTTGCTGTTTTGGAGTTGGGGCGAGTGCCTGAGATGGTTTTGGGATTACGGTTTCGGGTGTGGAGCTCAGGGTTTTACGGATTTCGGGCTTCGGGTTATGAGTCCAGGCCTTTTAGGTTTGAGGTCGGGCCACGGCTAAGGGCTTGATGTGGGGTTGGGCTAAACAGCTTTGGCGTTTGGGGTTCGGGACGTGGGGTTTGCAGTTTTGGAAGGGTTGGGGTTTGGGCGGTAATGGTTTTCCTCCTGCGGCGATGCCATGTCATATCATATCGCGCGTCACCTTCTCGACTGACTAATTGTTGTGACTTCTTGGCATGTGATGTGACTTTCGCCGAATCGTGCGTCACCCTGGGGTAAAGCAGCCGTCATGCGACTTTCGACGTCGTAAGCGGCTTGGTTTGGGTTTGGGTTTGCTGTTTATTGGTCTGGGTTTGGGGCATTACTGTGCCTTACAGGATTTGGGGATTTGGGTCTGGCATAGGTGTTTCGGATTTTTGGGTTGCGGCAACCGACGGAAAGGCACCGTTGACGGATAAAGCCAGAAAACAGTTAATCCCCAAGGCACAGAAAGCTCGAGAACACCGCCCGCAAATGATGCACATGCGACAGGCAATAGGCAATAGGAGAAAACCACACGATCAACAGTGCGGCGATAGATGCAGTTAACACAAAGAATCTGCTGTCGTTCGTTGAGAAATCAAGACGTCATCTGGTTCTAGGACGGCTCCGCCGTCGTGGCTCCGCTTCCTGAAAAGTGCTCGGGATGTGAACCGCAGACTGCTGCAGATAAGTCAATGTACGTTAACGCGGGAAAGGCCCTACCGATCGGCGTATTTCGAAAGGGCAGGTAGAAGCTGCTCAAAAATGAGTGCAGATTTTCGAAATCGAGAGAGCTGTGCTGGTTGCGTCTGGATTGGAGCTCGATGCTGGTTTGCAAGGTCCTAGATCACAGTCAGGCACACGCAGCTGGACAAGCCCCAGCAAACCGATGGCAAAACATTGCACTCAGAGTATGTGAAGACTGGAGAAGCATTCGCTTTCCCTCACCCGGTGCCTTCGGTTTACAACTGTGAGGCTCACCGGTGTGCCTTCTTGAGACTTTATTTCGGGTTGCAATGGTCCCCGTATCTTTGGTCCTCCCTTCCTGTCTGTGGTTGTCGCATCCGTGCTGCTGCAGCTACGGGCTTGTCAACTTCCGGCTTGCAGCATTGGTGTTATTACTGCCCAACTTGGCAGTAATAAACGGACTGCAATGACCGTCCAGGTGTTCACCTTGCACATTGTATGTGCTTGCATTTCGAAATTTTTGCTGATTGTCCAGGATGCAATCGGTGTGTTGCAACATAGTGATTTTCCTTCCTTCTCTTCATTGGTTCTTATTTATGAGCCATCCGGACCGAGAATGCCAAAGCTTTCCCTTGCCGCCTTTTTGCTGTTGCTGCTCCATGGCCCGTTTGCGACGAAACCCCTTCGTGATCCTTCGGGGGTGGAACAACGTAGGCTCCCATCGCCTTGCCAGCGTATGCTGTCTCTCTCTCTCTCTCTCCCTCCCTCCAGCCCTCCCTCAGTTCCCCTGTGAGGTTGCCGAAGCTCACGCCTTCGCGGGCATGTATGCTCCTGACCTGGCAAGAGGGTTTCCACCACGTCGACGACAATGACGATTTCTGCTACTATTACTACTACTTACTACTACTACTACTACTACTACTACTACTACTAAGATCTATTAAGATGGTTTTAAGCAAGTGTAGTTGGTAGGGGGGCCGGGCGCCTACTAGCCACCCACCCCCCCCCTACCAACTA